GCAAAAGGCAATAATCATGATTATAATTATGGCTCCCCTTTATGCCGTTGACTCATTCGTGGGGTTGTTAGATATTCGTGGAAGCAAAGCATTTTTCATGTTTCTAGACTCGGTTAAAGAATGCTATGAGGCTGTGGTAAGTGGCTCTATTGTGTCATTGACATGCTTCTGTTAATGGGGCATATACTATTTAGCTGTTTGCTTTCTAATTTTTTGTCAAAAATATTCCAGTTTCTTTTCTAGCATTTAATGTTGTTTAATTTGCAGGCAATTGCCAAATTTTTGGCCTTGATGTATAGTTATTTGAATATATCCATCAGCAAAAACATTGTGCCAGATGAAATCAAAGGGAGGGAAATTCATCATTCATTTCCTATGAATCTATTTCAGGTATGATTATGCTTATGTTTAGCTTTCCTCTTCATGTGTGCCAGATGATAACGCATTGATGTATTTATAACTGATAATCACTGTATTTGGATCTAGCCACTATTGCACTTTCCTCCTTTAGGGGTTGTTTGGTATGAGTTATAAGAAGGTATAGTGCTGGTATAAAAATTTAATACCATCTTAATACTTTGTTTGGTTAGCAAACCAGGTATAAGTTATCCCAGAATTAAAATTAACACCGGGATAACTTATACCTTATAGAGGGTGGGGTAATTACCACCGGTATGACTTATACATTCTTCTTACAAATTATGCAATTGTCATATTTAATACAACATACCAAACAATGGATAAAAAACAATCCCAGCATAACTAATCCCAGTATAACTTATCCCAACATAACTTATACCAGTATAATTTATCCCGGCATAAGCCGTATTCAAACCAAACGACCCCTTAGTGTTTACTGTATAATAATATCATTGTGAAAAACTTTAGGGGCAAGGGACCCCCCCCCCCCCCCCCTCTTTCAAGTATCCTTTTTTTTTTTTTGCTTTAAAGTACAGGGGTTCTATTCTTCCAAGATGAATAACGAAGTTTTTTGAGTTATTAGCCTAATGTAACCATTTACCAATTGTATCTGCAAATCCTAAAGAAGTTTTTGAGTTATTTATCCTAAAGAAATTATATTAATCCCCAGACCCCACTTTGTGGGATTATACTGGGTTTGTTGTTGTTGTTTTAGTCTAAGTGCTGATATGTCTATCTAAGCTTGGAGTTCAAGTACTTGTTCTTTCAAAATTGGATGACTTTGGCGCTTGGCTTGCTAACGCTTTATGTAAAGTTTCTTATAGTCTGGCTGATGCGAGAAATTAGGTTGAAGTTTGTCTTCCTACTTTTGGCAGTCGTTGAATTGAGCTTACACCTTTCTTACACTACTACACTAGAATGACTGATAAATTACTATTGCGATGGTAGATTATCATATGCATCTAATGTTCTTTCTGCCAATCGCAGCCTCATACTGCTCGCTTGGATCACCGGACACTGAAACTTCTCAAGCACTGGACATGGCAGTTTGTCATTATCCGTCCAGTATGCTCTATCTTGATGATCGCGTTACAGATTCTTGGGGTATATCCAAGTTGGCTCAGCTGGACGTTTACCATCATTCTCAATATTTCTTTCTCAGTGGCCATGTACTCCTTGGTTGTTTTCTACCATGTTTTCTCAAAGGAACTGCAGCCACACAAACCACTATCAAAGTTCATCTGCATCAAAGGGATTGTTTTCTTCAGCTTTTGGCAGGTAGATCCTCGGTCTCACACTCTTCTCTTGATTCATTGAATTTGATCAAAAAGGATGAGAGAAAAAATAGGTTCATTTGCTATTTGACTACTAAGATTACCCTTCGCCTAACAACAACAAAAAAAACCCAGTGTAATCCCACAAGTGGGGTATGGGGAGGGTAATGTGTACACATACTTTACCCTTCACCTATGCTTCATCAATTCATTTGTTATTGTTGTCTTTTTTTCTCTTTGAGTTTGTAATGCTTCCTCTTTTACAACTTCTGTTTCTGTTTTTATTAATTTACTGTTCCTTCTTCTTTTCTTCCAAGTATGTGAGTCATTTGCTTCCACTACTTCTAATTTTGGACTTATCTTTCTACTTTCTTACTACAGTGGCTAGAGCAATTGAAAATTAAAATTGATTACTGGAATTAATTCCTTTTTTACAGTTAATAAATAAACATTGAAAACTAATTTTAAGTTATCTTTTTGTGGCATATAGAATTTTGATCTTAGTGATATTTAATTTGGGCTGTTAAGTTCTACGGTCCTTGTTAGCTGTTGCTTCTTTCCGCTTTTCTCTTTTAAAAACATTGGTTGAATTGAAAGATGAAAATAATTGTAATCTAAAGGGGAAGCATAAGTATAGAGCAGCTTTAGTCCCAAGGGGATGATTGAGTGGTTGAGGTGCAAGAGTGACAAGCTGGAGATTCCAGGTTTGAATCCCTAGTAAAAGTGTAAAGCTTATGTGATTCGGTACATGTGTTTATGTACTGTACCAGACAGATTGCCTGGTGAATTAGTCAAGATGCTGGCAAGCTTACTCAAAGCTACCACTGTCAATTGAAAATATATACATGATCAGCAGCCCACGGTGTTTTTGTTCAGGCAATTACCAGTTTACCACCAAAGGACATGGTTAGGACTTAGGAATTAGGATACACCTGGAAAGAGTTCTACTGATGTAATTGCCTCAAATTATGGTAGTTGTAGTCAAAGACACTTTTTCACAGACCTTGCAAAGTCCAAATGAGAAGGTTATTTTCTTTGTTGTTGAGTAGGTTAAGTTTGAAGAAACATAAGTTTTTAGTGCAATTCTAGATGGTATTAAGGATTTGGATTTGCGTACAAGAAGTTTATGCTAGATGTTTATGAAGTACCAATACTTATCGAGCTTCTTTAGTTCTGTTATTCTCATTGCATGGTCATGGTGTGGGGTTAGGGTGGATAGGGGGCATAGATTTGCTTTATTGGCTGGTAACATCTTCATTGCGTTTGCCTTATGCAAGCCTTCTATTACTTATGCTCTTACATGTACTGAAACCATATGCTAAGTTGCGCGGACTCTTCGATTTTGGTGCCGTCCCCGTCCCGATACGAGACGGGGACGGGAGCGGGAGCGGGATACGTCCCCGATTCGGTCAACTGACTTCGGACACTTTGACCGGAGTCCATCGACAAATTTGGGATAAAAATTGAGATTTTGATTTCTCAAAATAAAAAATAAAACAGATTTAGGAGAATGAAAGAATAAAATCCATCTTGGAGAATGAAAGATTGAAATTCTACGATATTCATTTAAGTTTTTCACAGAATATCTCTCAAAATTTACAATATTTTTATAGCTCTATTTTTTATTAGCCAACCCGTATCCATATCCGGATCCACAACCCCGAATCTTAAAGTTTAGATTTTGCCGAATCCGATACTCGGGTCCGTCCCCTATCGGGTACCCGCACCCGAGTCCGAGCAACTTAGAAGCTTGGGAAAATGATTTCTGTATAGAGGACTTGGTTTCATTACAGTAAGACATCAACATGCCTTGAAGTCTTTGCTTAGAAGAGACACAGACGGGTTCTGGGCTTGGGCTATCATATTTATCTGTTCAAACAATTGAGAACTAAGGTCTTTACCTTGTTTACCTCCGCCCTCCTCTAAAAGGTTGTCTTTAAGAGTAGATATTATTCTTTTACCAGTCATCAGCGTCCCCTCTGAAATCTGATAGTTGGGTGGATCACCTGTTGTGTGAGTTTGAAGCATGGATCAATGAATTAATGATTTTTGGATAATAGAAATGACTCCTGTTAGCCGGCAAGTCATCAAGCAAGAATACAAAACACCACCATTAAAAGCATTGAATCCTATTAACATCCTGTTGTCTTGCATGCAGTTGCAGGGCCAAGATTTTCACTAAGGAGAGTCAAAATATAAAAAATTAAACGCATGAAAAGCCTAGGGAATTCAACATATAGTATATATACATTAAAAGAAAAGTACCTAGCACAGTATAATTTTCTGGCAAAGGGGTGTTCCGATTGACACCCCTTGGTTAAAGGTGGTTCCGCCACTACTTGCATGCTATTACTGTCGAAGTTCTTTGAACTTCTGGAAAAGTTGGTATTGGTTTCTTCATTTTGTTGTTGTTGTAAGGAAGCCTCTTTCCATTTGATGTTTTTGCTTGTCTGAAGTTTATATTTACCACCACTAGCGCAATAAACTATTCATCTCCGACTTTTTGCAGGGATTGCTGCTTAAAATTCTAGTTGCATTGGGTGTCATCAAATCTCACCATTTTTGGTTGGATGTGGAGCACCTTCAGGAAGCCATTCAGAATGTTTTAATTTGTGTGGAGATGGTTTTCTTTTCTGTCATGCAGCAATACGCATACCATGTGGCTCCTTACAGTGGAGATGTCCACGCAAAGCTTTCACAGAAAAAGAATGAATAAGTTGGTGCAGATGACATTGGTGTGGATTGACACTTCTCCACTGTGTGATCTTGCATTTACCAGTAACAATGTGTAATGCAAGTCTTTTTTTTTGTCGTGTAAACTATTGATACAGAAGAGAGAAATAGGAAGTATGCTCATCTTAAGCTAACTAATTTTCTTGTGTCCGCGAGGAAGATAGGATTTCTATCACTTTCTGTAAACAATTTTCTCTTTTGTGATTTGGATTTCTTGAAGTTAGTTGCATCAGTAATTTTTGTAGGTGCTCCTGTAGGTGCTATCCAGCACCTACAAAAGCCTGATTGTGAGCATAACCCAGGGTATACATTTTGTAAATTTCCTTGAAAATATTAGTATAAGATCGCTTTTCTCTTGAACATTTCTTATGACTAGCATGAGCTGGCAGTGATTTTGCCCTGCGTCTTCATGGGACATTGACATGCACTACATCGAAACATGAATATCTGTTTCACCTATCCTCACATGTTTGTGTACCCTTCCACTTTAATCCTGTCCTTATGGAACCAGACATTGGAATCAAACTCGACAGAACACCAGATACCTATTTATCATTTCATCAACAAAAGAGATGAAATAAGAATTGCAACTTCTAAAGAAACAATATACAACATAGATTTAATTCGTACATCACATTAGCACTCAAAAATGAATAACTGATCTCTGTCTAACTTGTCTACTGGAACATCATATCTTGATTGGAAGTTACATGTCCCTCTGTTAGTAACTATTGGTACAACCTCAACTGTAATAACCAAAGAAAACCATCTCAGAAAACATGTTTTACAGAGCTAAAGACTAGCATTGACCAACCAAGGAATACATAGCTTGATTCCTCCAGCCAATTTGTCCAGTCAAGTTGAGCACCCAATGCATAAAGAGTCTCTATTCCTCTAGCCAACTGGAGTGGAACAAGTTGGCGTTGCTTACATGGACAGGCAGAAATGATTGCTCCAGAACTAGTCCCTGCATACCAGAGATGAGGTTAGCATGTTAAACACCAGGAATAATAAATGTGCATCCACCTCAAGTATAAGCACACATGTACAAACAAGACTGCAGCACAATGAGAGAAGTGAATTGGAAATATGGTTATCCTCCAGAGCAAGAGAGGAGAATGATCTATTTGATATTATGGATAACAGATCTATTGCTATTACTTGCTATCAGGGCTTCTTTCACTTTCTTTAGCCGAGGGTCTATCGGAAACAGTCTCTCTGCCCTTCCAGGGTAGGGGTAAGGTGGCGTACATCTTACCCTCCCCGGACATACTGGGTTGTTGTTGTTGTTGTTGGATAAGAGATCTATCCATTAATCTCTCTCCCCCCCCCCCCCCCAAAAATCCAAATAGACCTTCATTCATCAAGCTCATAAGATACTGATACTCTACATAAAGTAATGACAAGCAAAAGAGCAGGAGTGGATGTGCTTTAACCCTCTCTTGTTGCTAGGAAGTTGAAATTCATCATCATTCAAAGGGATTTACAAGAGGAGATACTTGAGGAAATTGACAAATGGTCTCAAAAATTCAACATGAAAATGGCCATGAGAGAAATGCAACCAACAATCTAAGGTATTAGGCAGGTAGATAGCCGAATGAATAGGCAACAAGGAAGCTACCAATTGGCATGAGAAAGAATGCTCAGTAAATACAAAGACAAGATAAAATAGCTACCAACTGAAATGAGAAAGAATGCTCGGTGAATACAAAGACAAGAATAAATATGTCCTAGATCAAAATTTCAACAGCACAATGCTGAAATTCCAAGGGTTGCATTGCTGTACTAACTACGAAAAGGCAGTAAAGAAAAGGGCAGGGGGTCTAATAAGACAGGATCTATAGGAGGTCAAGTACTTCTACCCCCAGAGAGCAACTATAAATGCAAACTACTATATGGACAAAAGAATAAAAAATCAATAACGTGGATTATACGAAGTACAAACCATTTTAATCAATTTCAAGTATCATCTTTTTTAAATTATCACTTTAAATTACTAATAAATGCAAAATGCAATATTAGGTCAAGTTTTTAATCAGGATTATTGTATACTAATTTTTCTAGTTTATTATTCTAAAATCACTAACCTATCCATCCATAACATTTTCTTCACCTAATATATTACTTTAGAATTCTATTTATTATTCAGTGCCAGCCACTCTTTTGCAGAGGGATTCTATTGGTGTTAGGCGCAAACCTAAGTGCTTTTCTTCTTGCACTTGAGCATCATATAAAGGAACACGAAATACCCAATATAACAGCACCTAGCTTCAGGGTTTAAGAGCGCCTTTAACAACATTGCAAGTCGTCATTCTTATATGACCATCTTACAATTTGAGATGGCTTCATTCATCAGGGTGCCGAGAGTACATCCGTGGATCAAGGTAGGAGGGACAGATTAGTAGCAATTCCAATCAAGAAATAAGTTTAGCATGACTAAAGCTAAACAAACCCTAGGATTAAAATCCTATAATATGGCATCAGAGACACTCTTCAGACAATCTTCTACAATTGTTTATGTTAGAAATATATAATGCATATATAAGGAGAGCATTTTTACTCATCCACATCACACCTTTACAAGTAAATTCTATGACGACAAGCAATAAAAGATCAACCTACATAATCATAGTTATAAAGGCAAGGATCATAAAGCTTACCAGTACTTGATCAAACCATCCCAACCACAAGTAGCAACTTTACTTTGTTCCAGAGGATGCCACTCTGCACCAATACAGACCCCGTCATGACACTTGAGAGTTCTGAAGACCTTACACGATTTCCAATCCCAAAACCAGCATCTGCCTTCACCATCTCCTGATAAGACAAACCGTCCATCAGGTGAAAAGTTGACCTGGCAAGCATAACCAGCGACAATGTGTCCAGCAAATCTTTTCTTTTTATTCAGCTGAAATCTCTCTCGCGTACTATAAATAAGAATCTGGTTATCCAAACTTTGAGCTGCAATCCAATTCCCATTCGGATGGGGCGAAATAGATGGCATGGAATGCATATGGGGTTCACTAATATACTTAATAACAACCGGAATACCATATTCCCAAACACGGAGTGATTTATCATCACTAGAGGTCACAAACCTCCTATTATTATCCACAAAGGTAATTGTATTAACTGCCCCCAGATGTTGATCATACTCTTGTGTAATCTGTCCACTATTTATGTCCCACTGCACAATCTTCTTATCACTCATACCAGCCAAAAGTACATTCTGCTTATCCTCATCAGGGTTAAGCCTCACCACATAGGGTATCTTCCCTGTGGTGAACGTTTGGATCACCTGTCCTGTTTCTGTATCCCAATACTTAATATACTTATCATACCCAGCTGTCAAAAACTTCGACCCATCATTGCAAAACCAAATATCCCTCACCGCCTTTGAATGTCCCATATAAGTCCTCATACATTTACCAGAATTGTAAACATCCCAAATCTTCACCTTTGTATCCATCCCAGCTGACAAAATCAAATGACCATGCTTAGGGAAAAACCTAATAGCCGAAACCCCTTTGGTGTGCCCACTCCAAGTATGAACCAATCGTTTTGGTATAAAACAATGATCATTCGCAGCCTTTGCATCCTTAGGAGGAGCGATCCACGACCTACCCTGATAATCTTTTTCCTCTTTACCATGGAATGTACTCTTTTCAAGTAAAGGCTCAGGCTTTTCTCCACCACCTCTTTCTTCACCCTTCTTCTTAGCATACTCTTCAGCATACTTTTTCTGCTCCTCAGTTAATTCTACTTGTAATCCTTCTTTCTTTCCAGCCCATGGACTCTTCCTGTTCTTCATCAGCCACGTGTCGGTCGCCGGATTCTCAACTTCCGACATGTCCACGTCACCCTCATCACCCTCCTCCTCCATTTTTTCCTTCTTTTTCTCTAATTTCCTCTTTTTTTGTTCATGCTGAGGTATATTATACACAGAAATTGCATCACATTCCTTCATTTTATCCAAATCACCAATGTAACTATTTTCAGAGGGATCAACAGCGTACCCGTATTTCTGAAAAGTGTTGTACTGCTCGTCGAATACAAAAGGTTCAATAGCGGCGTTTTCGACAAACCCTAGCTTGTGATTTCGGAGCCCTTGAGCTAAACCGTCCTTGGCGTAGGGGTGAGCTGGCCCGTAGATTGGTGCCCAGAGTTGCTCGTATGTCGGGTTGAATCCGACGAGGTGTTGGGTCGGATCGAGGGGTTTGGATTGAGCTCTGGCAGCTTCACCGGCGACTGTTAGGGTTAGCATCGTGTCGTCGACTTTGGGGGCGGCGGATTTTGAAGGGAGCATGCGGATTGGGGATGAATCTGGCGAAGGGCTTTGGTCGGAGGTTTGGGAATTAGGGTTTTGTGGCGGCGATTCGGCGGTTTCATCGTCGGCGTAGGACTGTAAGAGATCCATATTGAGAATTTGCAAGGTTTTCTGAAAAAATCGGTAATATAAGTCGCACTACTGGTGAGTTAAAACGAAAGGCTTTTGTGATTTTTGTTGCCACGAGTGTTTTTTCCAAATTTTAGATGACTGATTGAACACTAGGCTAAACTTTAGAAAAAGATGGGTCAGAATTCGACCCCACCAAATACGTACCCGGCGCATACTCATTCCCCACGGCCATCTCTAATGTATGAAAGGCTACGGCCATCTCCAACATGTAAACGGCTAAGGACCATCGCCAAAAAGAATTTGGCCTCGACCGAAGCAACAGTCGACATCCCCATCCGTGTTTCTCGAAATACAGCCAATGGAATCCACTCATCGAGCTCGGCCAAGGCCCGACCTCAATAAGCGGAGGGACTAACTGTATGGGTCAGAATTCGACCCCACGATAATTAACGAGGCTAATCCCATTTTAAGTTAATTCATGATTAATTAGCGGCACGACCATTCAGAATTGACGATGTTCAACCCGCATCTGGTTTGATCGACAAGGCCATGGCCTATCCGCCACCATAAAGGCGAGATCCCAACGTGGTCACGGCCACTTATTGCCAGCTCACGAAGCTCACAGCTATAAATACCAAGAGAGGGAACCCCAGAAAGGGGGTGGGAGGCTTCTTGGTGACCACTATTGAGAGAGAAAAAAGGGACAACAATACCCAAAATTATGGGCAAGAGGAACACCATTGTAAGGCTCTGAACCTCTCCATGGAGAGGCAGACCAAACCAATATTATCAATAAAGGTTTCTAATGTTTATCCCCCTAATCCTGAGTATTAATTTTTGTTTCCTTTATTTGGTCCAACAGATTATTACGGTTTGCTATAATTTTCCCGTGATTTATATATATTGTTTTATACTCATAAGATGTGTGACAACTTTTGAGCAAACAATCTCCCTCGCCCAATATTATCCCATTTGGTCTATGATTTTGATTTCTGGGCAATAAACTTTCCTTTCAAATTTGTTTATTTAGTCCCATCTTATTGTGCATAAGAAAACACATTTATCATTGCTCCAAAAACTCCTCTTCTTGTCATGTACTCCCTTCTCTATTTGTGTGATGTATTTTGGGCACAGATTTAAAAAAGACTTTTGAAATTTATAGTCTAAAATAAGTCATAGATATTTGTTCAACAATAAATCATGCATTCTCAAAAAAAAAAAAAAAGTAAATCATCTTATTAAATGCAAAATAGAAACTTAAAGTAAAATATTTTTTAAATAAAAAATATATATTTTGGGATAGACTAAAAAGAAAAATACATTATATAAATAGGGACAAAGAGACATGATATATTGATGTTTTGTTTTGCCACATTGACATTGTTAATTGCGCCTAATTTCTTTCCTTATCAAATGCATATTAAACAAAGTATTTTGCTTTCTTATTTATTCATAAACGAATTTATACCACTTATTTTGCCTTTGATGAATCTTTATGAAAAACAAAAAACTAAGCTTCTTTTTTTTTTTTTGATGGGTAAACTCTAAGGTAGCTTCTACTACGATGTGAATCAAACAATTCAGATGTCACGTTTTAATTCAAAGCATGTCGCTGAGTCTTTCTTATATTTTCTCATTTTGCGTTTATCATGGATAGATTGAAAACAATAAAGGAAAAAGAAAAAATGATTGAATGGATCTTCATGGGACGCAAGGGAAAGTGCTATTAGTGGTCCAAACAATAATATTTAGTTACAAAATAATGTCAGTTTAGAAATTTGTATGTTAGTGGGTAGAGAACCTCTAGTGTTAAAGAATTCCATGTTATTGTCCATTGAAATGAAATATGTCCAAATGGAGTGAAGTGAAATAGCAACCATACATATAGCCGGCCCCTAACTAGTTAGGAACTAAGGCGTATGTAAGGAAAATGAGTAGATAATATTGACTAAGAACAAGAAGGAAAGAAGACTACAACTTATCAAAAATACTGTGTCGTGGCAAGCCACTGCCTTGAAAGCGATTTCGGCTCGACTGGGTGCAAATCGTTAAGGTCGGTCTCCACAGCACCTCCAAACACGTGCACTCGTGGCTGGAAGTTTAGAATTTGCACAAACCAGTTGCCCAGGAAGAAGAGAAGATGAAGGTATTTTATGTGTTGGATAATTCACAAAGAAGACTAGGAAGAAAGGAATGATTAGCTAGATGAATTCTTGGTTAAGAAGTGAGTGATTATGATGGATAATTCATAACCTATTTATAGGAAATTAAGGAGGTTGCATGTATGACAAGTGTAGAGAGACTTTTGACACTTGTCCCATTATGTTAGTCCACTTGGCTCCAATATTGACAAGTGTATCTTGTCTTCCATGCATGAAGACATTTGGCTCCAATATTGACAAGTGTATCTTGTCTTCCATGCATGAAGACATATGGTAGATTTGCATAGCCATTTGTCAAAACCATTCAACACTTGGCTTTAAGGCTTCATGCAAGAGGCCACTTGGAAATAGATAGGACATTTGAAAAATAAAAAACTCATGGCTATTGGTTGTAAATGGAATTTTAAAAAGAAATTTTTGATTTTGCATTATGAATAATTCCAACAATCCCCCACTAATGCAAACACAAAAATAGAACAATTCTTGGCAAAAGAAGGAACATGTACTTAAGTGTCAATATCTTTCGATTTGAATTGACACGTAGTGAAATGAGGCAACAACTAACATCCACAAAGTGAAGTACTCTTGAACTGCATGGACATTAGCTCAGACCCCCACATCACATACTATATCCTCAATTTTATGCAAATTCTGCGATACTAACAAAGTGCATTTATGGTCATGCACATACCTTCGATCTCATGAGTGCTCTAGAAAGGCATCCCAAGTCTTTCATAAAAGGCGACCGCACCTTTACACTCACGTAGGTGATTCCATCAAGTCTATCTACACATAGACTACCTTAAGGCTATGGAATCATCAAGAGCACAATAAGCCCAACCTTATAAAGCACTACCACACACCATAGGGATAGGAAATAAAGTGCATATTGAAGTCTCATATGGCTTCGTTTGACCACAAACGGGTATCCACCATACTTCCTCAATCCATGGGCTTTAGCCCCATCCCCCTTGACGTCTCAAGGATAACTCTCCTTGCCAAACCCTTGGTTAAAGGATCCGCCAAATTTCTTTCGGGTCTTACATATTCCAAGGAAATAACTCCATGTTTCAACAATTGTTTTACCGCACCATGCCTAATGCGGATATGTCTTCTTTTTCCATTGTACACACTATTTTTAGCAATTCCAATTGCTGCCTGTGAGTCACAATGTAGAGAAACTGGTGAAGCTTGTCTTCCCCACAAAGGCACGTCTGCCAATAAGTTTCTCAACCACTCGGCTTCTTGCCCTGCCAACTCAAGAGCAATGAATTCAGACTACATAGTAGATCGTGCTATACAAGTCTGTTTTGAAGACTTCCATGAAATAGCACCTGCACCCAAAGTGAACACATAGCCACTAGTGGAGCTAACTTCATCATTGTCAGTAACCCAGTTTGCATCACAAAAATCCTTCTCAAACAACAGGAAATTTATTAAAATGCAAACACCAATCCATAGTACCTCCCAAATATCTTAGCAAACGATGAAGAGCATTCCAGTGTTCAGTACTAGGGTTGTAAGTATATCTACTCACTCTACTAACAGCATAAGCAATATCAGGTCGTGTATAATTCATGAAAAATATTACACTACCAATTATCTTAGCATACTCAGTTTGAGAAATACTAGATTCCTTATTCTTTTTCAAGTGTATGCTAGGATCATAAGGAGTTCTCACAGGTGCTACATCAAAAAAATTAAACTTTTTCAACATTTTCTCAATATAATGAGATTGAGACAATGAAAAACCATTAGAAGTTCTTTTGATTTTAACCCCTAAAATCACATTTGCTTCTCCAAGATCTTTCATTTCAAATTTAGAAGACAAAAAATTCTTAGTCTCATTAACAACATTCACATTAGGGCCAAAGATTAACATGTCATCCACATACAAACATATAATAACACAATCTGATCCTATCATCTTGGAATAAACACAAGTATCAGATGCATTAACAACAAAACCATTATCCTAATGTGCTATTAAACTTTTCATACCATTGCTTAGGTGCCTGCTTTAGACCATACAAAGACTTTCTCAATTTGCATACTTTATTCTCCTGTCCTTGGATCATAAATCCCTCGGTTGAGACATATAGATCTCTTCCTCTAAATCACCATTAGGAAAGCTGTTTTAACATTCATTTGATGTATTACCAAATTATGAATAGCGGCTACAGCAACAAGAGTTCTAATAGTCGCTATCTTAGTCACAGGAGAATAAGTGTCAAAGTAATCAATGTCTTTCTTTTGATTAAAACCCCTAATAACAAGTCTAGCCTTATATTTCTCAATTGTACCGTCAGGTCTCAACTTCTTCTTAAATATCCACTTGCTACTTATGGGTTTACAACCTTTAGGCAAATCAGAAAAGTCCCAAGTATGATTAGAAACTATAGAGTCTAATTCACTTTTAATGGCCTCTTTCCAAAAACTAGCATCTATATATTGACCTTATTGCTTCACTATATGTCTTAGGGTCTTCTTCTATTAAATAGATTGATACTAATTCATCAATCAAAACATCAAAATCAATATTTTCAGTTAAGAAAGTAGTAATAAAGTCAGGACCAAAGTTAGCTTCAATTCTACGTCTCTTGCTTCTTCTAAAGTTATTTTCATGCTCATTAGCAGTAGCACTAGAAGAAGGCACAATATGAGCATAACCAATGAAAATAGCATTAAAAGTCTTGGGTCCAACAGTTACTTGTTTAAAATCAGGTAGACCAACCTTAGTCAAACACCCCCACACTTCCAAAACTTTTAAGTTAGGGGCAAACCCTTTCCATAACTCATATGGAGTTTTATCTAACTTCTTATGAGGGACTTTATTAAGAACATAGCATGTAGATAAAACAGCTTCCCCCCACATATTATCAGATAAATCCGAACTCAAAAGCATAGAATTCATCATTTCCTTAAGGGTTCTATTTCTCCGTTCGGCTCCACCATTTGCTGTGGAGTATAGGGAGCACTAATCTCACGTATAATACCATTTTCCTCACAAAAGGCTTCTAGAGTGTTAGTACTATATTCACCACCCCTGTCAGACCTAAGTCTATTGATTTTTCTATCTAATTGATTCTCTACTTCTGCCTTGTATTTTAAAAACATGCTTTCAGCTTCATCTTTTGACTTAAGAAGATATACCTTAGTGTATCTAGAAAAGTCATCTACAAAGGTGATGTAGTATTTCTTTCCACCTTTACTAACAGTATTTTTGAAATCTGCTAAGTCTGAATGTACTAGTTCAAGCAACTCTGTTTTTCTACTAGTTACATTCTTAAAAGGCTTTTTGGTATGTTTTGCTTCTACACAAACAGGACACTTAGAAAAATTATCAACATTAACTGCAGGAATTAATTCCACTTTTCTAAGTCTTTTAATAGAAGCAATATTAACATGCCCTAGTCTACCATGCCACAAATCAATGGACTCAGCAATATAAGCAAAATTGAAAGTACTAGCATTATTAGTAATCTCTTGAGCGATGTTTATTACAAATAAACCCCCACTAAGGTAACCTTTCCCAACAAAGTCTCCCCCACGAGAAATAATAACTTTATCAGATTCAAAAACAAGTTTAAGACCTGCTTTGTTGAGAAGCGCACCAGAAACTAAGTTTCTACGAAGGAAGGGTACATACAGAACATTGTTCAAGGCTAAGGTTTTTTCAGAAGTTAGGTTAAGGAGAATTTTTCCTTTACCCATAACTCCAGCTGTAGTGGAGTTACCCATGTAGACACACTCGCCATCAGCAGATTCCTCAAAGTCGTGAAACAGCTCTTTATTGGCGCAAAGATGCCTTGAAGCGCCTGTGTCCAGTATCCAGTCAGTCTTGTTAGCCACCATGTTTGCCTCAACAACCACAGCAGCAATGACATCACCACCCTCGGTAAGGTTGGCTTGGGCTGGAGCTTTTCCTCCATTCTTTGAGCTTTGTCCTTGTCTCTGGTTGCACTGAAAAGCCTTGTGACCAATTTTGCCGGAGACATAGCAAGGTCCTTTCGACTTTTGAATATGGCCTTCCGGCTTATTGAAGTAATTCTGCTTCTTCACATGTCCTTTCTTCTGGCCTTTCTTTTGTTTTCCTTTAAACCTGTCTTTCACAAAAGTACTAGAAGATTCCACAAGGTTAGCTTTAGAAGAATTAAGAGAGAGAGATTCCATCTTATCTTTAAGCCGTTCAGACCCCTCATCCTTGAGACGGTTTGCTTCCTCAGTCCTCATGTGACTGATTAGTTCTTGAAGAGTTAAGTTTTTCTTCTTGTGTTTTAGTTGATTCCTGTAATCATTCCAGGAAGGTGGAAACTTTTCAAGTAAACATTAGCCTGAAGAATCTCACACATCTACATGCCCTTGTTCAAAACATCAGCAGTTAAGTTTTCATACTCGTGAACCTGTTCCATGATTGGCTTATCATCAACCATCTGAAACTTGATCCATTTTCCAACGACATACTTCTTTTTTCCTGCATCATCAGCGCCATATTTCTTCTCCAAACTGTCCCATATTACTTTAGCAGATTTATAATTTATAAACAAATCAAAGAGAGGGTTAGTCATATGGTTAAGCAGATGCCCTCTTACTGTTTTATTATCCTTTTCAAATTTCTTCTTAGCAGCATCATCAGCAACAACAATATTATCAGCATTAGAACTATTAGCAACAATATCAGCAGGAGGATCGTTAAACAAAACATAATCAACTTCTAATTGTTCAAAGAAAATTAAAAGTTTCTGGGAACAACGCTTATAATAATTTCCATCTAAAGGCTTAAGCTTTGAGAGATCAGGAAGTGTTTTGTTCAAAGTGGTGGCCATTAGTCAATATTATATGTAAAATCGCTTTCAAATTGTATGGAAAATGAGTGGATAATATTGACTAAGAACAAGAAGGAAAGAAGACTACAACTTATCAAAAATACTGTATCGTGGCAAGCCACTGCCTTGAAAGCGATTTCGGCCCGACTGGGTGCAAATCGTTAAGGCCGGTCGCTCCCCAAAGTTCCACAGCACCTCCAAACACGTGCACTCGTGGCTGGAAGTTTAGAATTTGCACAAAACAGTTGCCTAGGAAGAAGAGAAGATGAAGGTATTTTATGTGTTGGATAATTCACAAAGAAGACTAGGAAGAAAGGAATGATTAGCTAGATGAATTTTGGTTATGATGGCTAATTCATAACCTATTTATAGGAAATTAAGGAGGTTGCATGTATGACAAGTGTCGAGAGACTTTTGACACTTGTCCCATTATGTTAGTCCACTTGGCTCCAATATTGACAAGTGTATCTTGTCTTCCATGCATGAAGACATATGGTAGATTTGCATAGCCATTTGTCAAAGTCATTCAACACTTGGCTTTAAGGCTTCATGCAAGAGGACACTTGGAAATAGATTGGACATTTGAAAAATAAAAAACTCATGGCTATTGGTTGTAAATGGAATTTCAAAAAGAAATTTTTGATTTTGCATTATGAATAATTCCAACAGCGTAGTTGTTGTGAGGTCTCAAACATCTATCAGAACCGATTACAGTAATGCAGTGATTTTGGGGATCAAGGATAAGTATGTGGTGCTCCAATGACAAATGGATATATATGCGGTACAGTTGAAGAACCTATATAAGCCAAAATTTAAAGAGAAAATAAGCAATCTTAAGATATACCACAGATTTCCATGTACTATTGCAACCACAAACTTTGATACAATGGTTCAACACAACTGAGATATACCACAGATATATTAGCCTAACAAAACTATGACAAGTCTAAGAATGCTCTAGGTTGTCCTGCTTAATGTCACAAACTTCCAGTTTCCACTTCATACCTGTTACAGAAGAGGACATGTGGTTAGAAAAAACATACCGGGCATGTAACATAGTATCAACTGCATGTTTTAGGCAGGATAACTTTACCTGTTGCACTACCTTTGAACCTTCATAAGAAAATAGCCGCGATGCATTTGCAAAGCTTATCTCAGCAAGTTCTTCTTTTGTCAGCTCGAGTAATGATGCGACATAGGAGAGTACATGATGAATGTTCGCAGGATGGTTAGGGATTTCTCGTGCCTGTTGTTCATTGCCTTTGTCCTCCTGCGATGGGTTCTCGGACAGATTTCCGTTGTTGTTTCCTCCTCCACTTGAAGTTCCATCAGCTACTGAAGCTTCTCTCTCGATCAAATACAGAGAATCTGGATCGCTCAACTTTGGCAAAGCATCTGGTGCATCTGTCTCCAACAAGATTCTGTCCGTAGGAATTGACTTCAACATTTTCTTCGCTTTGCTTTCTTTCATGGACATAAGAAACCCAGAAAATGAGAAGTAACCACCAAGCTTTGCAAATTCAGGAACCATTTCGGCAGAACCAAGGTAAGAGTGCAGAATAAAGCCGGCAGGAAATGGCCCAACAGATTTCAATAATTCAAGAAGATCCCCGAAAGCACGAACACAGTGTATGGATGCTGGTCTTTTCAACTCTTTGGCAAGCTGAAGCTGCTGTCCAAAGACATCCACCTGATCAGCAAAATCAATCTTCCTTCCAAACGAACCTTTATCTAAACCAATCTCTCCAACTGCAGCAGCAGGAGTAGCCTCCAAGAATCCTTTCAAAGTTTTCAGCCAATTAGGAGTCCTCTCAGTAATAAACCAGGGATGGATCCCAAAGTTTGGAACAATACAAGGGTAGTGATCACTCATTTCCTTTACCAAATGCCAATCTTTTTCCGACACACCATTGACAGCAAAATGGACAACTCCCGTTTCAACTGTGGTCTTAATAATTTTTGGGACCACATTAATGATCCTTGGATCTTGGAGGTGACAATGAGAATCGAAGAGTTTCATCATGAGTCTGAGTATCCCTCTGCCAGTCTCTTGTGCTACACTACAAGTTGGTATTATACCACTTTATTGCTTGAGTGAACCCCTATCGAGAGCTCAAATGCTGGAAAAAGATAATGCTAATTGATAACTAGAAGAAGCAAGTGCAGCAGTGTCTCACATATGACAGATTAAGGGGTATCTATCTTGTGGTTGTGTTTGTATGACCAACAAATAACTAAAGGCTGTGCAGATGCTCAAAGCTGAAAATAAAATGAAGGACCACTTTACATTCAGAATCCAACAATTTCAAAATACAAGCCAAAAGTCCAAATCTATAGACCAATTACAGATCCACATTCAAGTTGATCTACCCCATTAAACGTGAGAACATGTGAACAGAACTATGAGAATCAGCTAAGCAACATAAACATGCAAATAAGCTAAGAGTTGTACTAAACTATGTCAAAGTGGAAAATTTTGATTGGGAATTCTATAATCCTCTAAACCTCGGACACTAGAGTCTTGACAACATCCTAAAGTGAACTAAACAAATATGATTATTCAAAAAATGACAAAATTATACACAAGACAACATTTAACTTATATCTGCACCACCAATTTTCATTCTTGAGCGTCACAAATGAGCATAGAATGTAAACCCAGCGAGCCATAGTAGGATCAACCTATGCTCCAGCAACTCAGGCCCTCAAACTGTCAGACACAGTGTGCGTCCAAGAAGTAAATTATTAAAATGTAGATCACGGGTTCAAGCCGTGGAAGCAGCCACTATGCTTGCATTAGGGTAGGATGTCTACATTACACCCTTGGTGTGCGGCCCTTCCCCGACCCTAAATGAATGCAAGATGCTTAGTGCACGGGGTTGCCCTTTTTACATATGCACCTTGCTAAGAGCATGATCAAGTGCCAAGAGCACATGGATAAATCAACGAACTTCTTAATGATGAAGTGCAACATTTAACATGACTAAGTTACAGTAAGATGAACATATTCTTCATCCATTATCTCAAAATCATATACCTAGTAGTAATGTATCATTCTTCAACCATTTCAGCTAAGGATTTTAACAGAAGGGCTAAAACCCAACTCACCCATGAATCTCAAAATCATTTAAGTACTTGTAAACATGAAGAATAATCTCTCTCAATCTTCTCAAGGATTTTAATAGAAGGGGACAAAAAGTTAACTCACTCATAACCCCAATTTCTTTTAGCCAACTAAATTGGATGGACGGAATATGACACCAAAAACATTATAAAACATTCCATTCCCCAATTCCCATCAGCTCTAATTCAATCATGAATAAGCCAGATACGACTCCGCAGCCACTTTTCCTTTTTTTTAAAAAATCCAGAAGAATTAACTGATTTAAGTACCAGAAACACTGTAATTTCCCTTGTAACATGTATTCTGACGGAATTTTGGTAATAGATTGACTTTTTAATCCTTATAGTTCCAGAAGACAGATTTAACGGTTCTTTTTCATTTCTTTGCACAATATTCTCGAAAATTTTGAGAATATTTAACATCTGAAAATTTTGTTGGAACGAGATAGTACCTCAATATGTGCTTCAATGGCTTCTGCCTCGGAATTCAGCTACCCCTGGGTCAGTACTCTAACATATAAATAACATATAAAGCCTCTCATCATTTTTGTTTGTTGTCAGGTTTAGAGATATTCCGACCTTAATTTTTATTTTTATTTTATAAAGGAAAAGAAATTAGTAATGCTAGGGTGTTCATAAAAACCCAAAAATCGAACCAAATCGGAAACCAAACTAAATCAATCAAAAAAACCAATACTTTTTGGTTTGATTTAATTTTAATTTTGAATTTAAAAACCGATCAAATTTGATTTGGTTTTGGTTATAATAAAAAAATAACCGGAAAAAATCGAACCACGCCGACTATAGAAGTAGTTATTTCTAATTTATTATTATTATTATTATTATTATTATTATTATTATTATATATATATATATATATATATATATATATATATATATAATAAATGTTAATTGTAAGAATGTTAATCGTTTGCACTTTTAGTATAATTCTTTGCCTTTACATTCTAGTTTGATTGGTAGTTTTTTTTTTTTTTTTTTTTTTT